CGTTCGTGCTCTCGAAGACAATGAGAGCGAAGGGCTAACTAGTGGTGGCGTCGAGTGCACGGAGCAGGGCAATGGTGGCATCAGCGAATGCGACATAGTTATCTCCCGAAGTGGTTGCCGTCACCGCATCTTTTGATGTGGATGATGCAGACTCGGAATGCTCTCTTGACCTTGGTTCGAATGGTGATGTTACCGGTGTTGGGACTGTAGCTGAACTTCAAAGAGGTTTATCGATGTTTTTAAAAAAATATAAATACAGCAGCATCGGCTTTGCGACACACTCGGCGAAGTCGAACTTGCTCTTCACGATTTCAATTGTTTGGTATCGGACAAGATATATTTCCCTGATTGTACTTGGGAAAGTGTATCAGTGCCGATCTCACATTGGGTGCGGACAAAGACTGACGCTTAATACTCAAAGGGCCGATGAAACATAATTTTGCTATCAGCTGCTACAACGCGGACGTCACTGCGGCCCAAACGATCAAGTAACGCAACGTGGTAATTCACCAGAACTGAAACCCGAAATCGATGCGCTTCTGAAGCTTGTAATGTCGGCAGGACGGGTGAGAAACATGATACTTTTTTAAGTATAGTCAAGAACCTGATATGTTGGTACATGTCCCCGAAGTTCGAAAAATGGAAAACCGTAATGCATATTTAAAGAAGAAGGTCAGTGGTGGGTGGGAGATAAACAAATTTGCAACTCTGGGGCATTTGGCCGCACTTAAACTATGTTGGTGTTGACGAAAAACAACGTGGCCAACATGAATGCAATGGTTGTGCTTGACGACTTCGAGCACATGGTTGCCGTAGGAGATCAGCAAGTTGCCAGTATGGTTATGGTAGTCACGGCACGTGCTCTATGGCAGAAAGCCGTCAAGATGTGCAAACTCAAGGATCAGACTTGGTTAGGTCGATAGGTGGTACATACCAAATCCATTTTGGAGAATAGGCACTTGTTGACTGTGGGGGAATTTCAGCTGAGTCAACTGATTCTGGGTTCGTGCAACGATTTTGCACTTGGTTATATACGTTCGTGCGCACCGAAGTTATTTTCACTAATGAGAAGATGGCCATTGCATTAATTAAATATGCAAAAAAACAACATGTACGACATAAATGTATCCATCTGCAGTTCAAGTACTGGCCGCTCGGACGCGATTGCGCCTCCTCTCGTATCGGTCTGGCCCTAAGTAGAGATACTCACGTGCTCGGAACATTTAATAAGACAGCCACGTAAGTATTCGAAGCTGGAGATCAAAAAAGTTCATAGAGGAGCAAGTGCATCCACATCTCCGATTGTTACACGCAGTGAGGTTGCTAAAACAATTTCATGGCTTGTCCAAGCGAGTCATGCAAGCTATATATATCAAAATTACGAGCCTTGGCTAGCAGAGGGCACGCAGATCGTGCTTGAGTCGGCTGCAACTGGAATGGTAGCATTCGCTTGCGGTGGGCCCTCTTGTTGTGGGTGACTTGAGCTTGAGAACGAAAAATGGAAAGTGAATTAAAGTTATGGATAAGCAGCGAGGCGCTTTCTCTATTTTAAACTACTCTGCGTTCAAACAGTCAAATTGTTCTCGATCTTCTTCTTCGCGGTGGATCTTCTCGCGTTCTTATTCTTGCTCAGCACCACAGGCTTCATCCATACCAGGCAGGCAGCCATGCCATACCCCCCCCCTTCATGACCCTGTGCGGTTAACAGGGGAAAATGGGTCGGATGCTGACTTGCTGCGTCGTCGCACCCTTGTCAATCGTGACCGTGCCGTTGTTGTGAACTTGCTTGATCGTGTACGGGCGGTGAGCAA